GGAGTGTCATAAAGACTGCATAATGAAGAAGTCATTGCAGCCTCACTCCCAGTCCATCAGTCAGCCACTCCAAACAACACCATAGACTGATCGCACGGCTTGAGTTACCCCGTCAGCTAGAAGTCTTCCAAGCCCCGGCATTTGGTCCAAAGTTATAGCTTCAAGCCTGTCACATTGTTAATAGTGAGACCATTGCGCTCAGTCATCGACCTCGTACCCTCAGCACCGGTGTCGTGCCTACGGTCGAGTCTGTCGTTTGCTTCGTGTAGATGGATGAGGTGGCTGACATGGTCGGCGAATTCGTCAGCGCACGTTCACAACCAAGTTATAAGAACGAGCCTTGGCCGCTTACCTCTCCACAATCGTCTCATATATGATTACGATTATATATAGAGCTTCTACCCAAGTATAATTGACAACTGTTTACTAGCACAAGCCGACCAGAGATGCGTATACAATAAATATAAAATCACTACACCTTATTTTTAGTACTGTAACTGACGAAAAAAATTACCGCGTTTAAGACTCAGTGGGGCAGCGGACTATTTCGAGAAGGCCGCTTACTTTTCCTTCTGGACATATCTTAAAATTGCCATAGATTCATGTTCGAAAGCAGTTAAGGCGGATATTTTGCTAAAGTAAACACTTTTAACTCTTTTATCTTTAAAACGATCACTGATGCATCACCACATTTGCTTAGGAGCATGGTTTCCGTACAGGTCGTCCTTTTAATCAAATTTTTTAAAGAGAAAACATTGCCTTTCTACAGTATCTATTATAGAAGGCTCAAACCCTTCTTAAAGGCGCAGAACTGGGATCACAGCGTAGTCGATATTCTATCATAAACAACACTGCATATGGGAACTGGATCCTCAAATAAAATAAATTATGTGTGGCTGCGTCAGGCGAAGAGTTTGGATATAAAACCGTATTGAACTATGTACCAGAACATTATTCAGAGACTTTGTAGAGATTAGGTTAATGCATATTTTTCAGCACTTCTTCTTTACATTAATGCATATGCATAAACGAGCAGGAGTTAAACACTTGCGTCGTTCAAAGGCAATTAAGCTTCGGACCCCAGTTGAAGGTTTTTAGTCATTATGAAGATTAGGCGATCAAAAGTCCAACCCCACGCACAAACAAGAACATCGTGCAGGGCCGCCATTTGCCAAGCTGATGTTGCCATATTTACATTATTACTATTTCTGTTTGCCACTTTCCCTCCATTCCTGATGATCCTTCTTCCACTACACCGCAACGATCTAACCACGTACAATAGATTAACTAACGTGTGCAAAATACCGACATCTGTGAATAACTGATTAGAATTCGCAAACAAACATTAACGTACGTACGAAAATCTTTTAATAGCAATTAGAGACCTTATGCGAATTTAAAACTTGAATGAATATGAAAAGTTTTATCATTTTGTTCAGAATAAGCAGCTAAGCAAACAAATTCCACAAAAATCTGAATTGTCGCTGTAAATGTGGCTCCTGAATGCAAATAGAATTGCCGGTGGAAATCGTTAACATAACATGTTGTGCATATCAAAGGCATCTTCATTTCAGAAGATAAAATAGCGAACGTAAGTTTGTTTTCGATGGATCCTCGTCAGGCCCTTACATTCATATGAAATGAGAAAACTATGCTGGTTGATGGATCTAGTGTTGTTGTCAGGGTCTGTGCGGGGAGGGGCTGAGGATGAAAGCAATTGAGCTCAAAATGTCAGGAGAGTTCATTTATATCATTATCATATAAATGTGAGGGCCTGATGAGAACCGATCGAAAAAAAACGTATGTTCGCAAATTTATCTTCATAAATTTAAAATGGGCATTTTTACAAATTTAAAACTTTTGTTTCGACAAAGTTCTTCATACATATGTTTCTGATTACATTATAATTAATGACGGCTCATACGTGAAGGCTAATTTTCTTGTTTATATTATTGTTTTTTTATAGAGCTATGGAAAATCACGATTTTTTGGTCCATATCATAGGAAAAATTCTAGATATGCGTAACCTGATTTCGCTGAAATCCTGCCTCTTTTTCTTCTGGATACAACATTTAACATTCAGGTTTCTTTTGTAAAAAGGTTTTCTGATCAGTTATTCCAAATATCAGGACTAAATATACAAGAACCCACTCACTCGTATTGTTAATACGATACTAAGTGGGCTAGGCCATCTATTTCAGCCTCAGCCGGTCAACTGTAATTCATTACAAACTGATCAAAAAATTGAGCAATTTGACCATTTGCATACTCTCTAGGTTAATAGGGATAAACCGATATACAAGGTTGCGTCGTCGAGACGAAAAATGACCCACTTTTAATTCTTTGGCTGAATCCGACATGCACAAATGTAGTGTACACTGCCGCCTAAAATAGTTGGTGAGGCTTAAAGTTGTGACATTCATATGGGCAGTTTGACTACGGCATCTTCGCATCATCTCACTTCCGGGATCACTGAGTCCGTGTACAAAGGACCCCGATAGAGAATAGCGTGATCTGTGAGCATTTTATGGCAGCTTATGACCGTTCTTTCGAGTCCATACACCTTGCGCGCCAGAGTCGATATTGCCAAAGTTACGGCTTTTTTTAAGATTCTGATGGAGAACATTGAGGCGGAAGACCTGAACGGAACTGCAACGCGCACGAAATTGGTGATCTTCCGTCAGCAACTGAGGCGAGCACTAAGCTTGACCTACTATTCAGAATAAATTTGCCATATTTTGAGCCTTCGCTTCGCATTTCCCCAGATAATGAGCTAGGTCGTGTCCTTCCGAACAGAAAGGCAGGTTAGGGTGGATTTCTTCATAAGTTAATTTTATGGCCACGCCCTCCGAAGAGAGACGCCAGTTAATAAAAATTGGATTGGGACATTTGTGCATAGGACGGACATGGTTCGAATGTGTTTTTTTAGTCCAGGAACCGCATCCACGACCATTTCTGCTCATCTGGACACTCTTTTGCAAATGGAACACGATGTGTGTGGAAAAAGAGAGTGTGGGAATGGAATCCAGGTCCTTCTTCTGTGTAACCTACCATTGGTCGACTGGCAATTCTGGCTGGCGCGCCAACGGTCATGGGCAAATGCAATTTTTAACAATATATTGGTATATTAGTGCATTTTTATGATTACGGTTGAAACAGATGCTGCTTTCTCTCACGGATTCTCAAAAAAACGCGACTGCAGGAACATTTCCTTTCATTTTTTACAGCGTCTTTTGAAGTAGCATAAAGCAATCGTAAGACGAAGGAGCAAGTGAGGCAATTTTAGACGTGCGAGGAAAGTTAAATCTTTGGACTTATTTCACAGATGTGAGAATATTATTCTTATATGGCAGTATTTAGAGAGACTTTTCCTCCAAACTCTACAAAAATAGACCTTATCACACAAACAGAAGTGTCCAGGTAGATAATCAGTAACTTAAAAAGCATTCTATGAAGGAGTCTAACTAAATTGAGCTTCTGAAGGTATTAAATTCGTATGATCAGCTATAGAAGAGATTAGCAGCCTCATTTCGATTCGAGCACACACCAGCAAGAAGATAGCTTTTTTGCAGTCAAATCCCTAGCCAAGATGCCTACGAGGCACCCTTGTCTACATTATTAAATGAAAAAAATATGAAAACTAATTCTCAAAGTAAGCAAATGTGCCTTTTCGTGAAATATGTTCTCGTTTCGAAATAGCTACTTATGCAGCCTTGTAAAATGAAGCTTATTTCAGATATTTAGATATTGCAGTCACAGCAAGATGCCGGCCTTCAAAGAACCTTACTTCTGGCGATCTGCAAAACTTAACACTTTAAACGATCAACTAAGCAGGATGATTAACTTATGCTTATTTTCCATGTTGTGGGAATTTTACACGTCATTTTTGTACACAGTGCATTAAAATATTATTCCGTGCACTCATTTGGTGGCTCGTATACTTCTTTTTCAAATTGTATATGTGAAGAAAGAGCCTGGTTCGGTTCAGTCATAAATTCTTGTATATCTCCACTTATGGCACAAGTCTCTCCAATATCATTCAAGTCTATTGCACAATTGCCTGAACCCCTCATGAGTTCTTCCTAATGTCTTAGAGGAAAAGCTCATTTTCCTTAGCCTAAATATACACAGCCGGCATTTAGTGTACCGTAAATTCAAGTCTTACGGCAGATCTGGCTCAAACGCTTTTTTTGACAATAAAACTGTTTTTTATTAAAGCCACGGACACTTATCCTTAAAATTTAGAATAAACACGTATATGGTTATATCAGTAGTCTTCCGGAGCGAAAAAAATTCAAAATTTCTCCTTATATTGCTCGAGATAGCAACTATACTTACTCTTATTGATTTCGCTTGCGCATCTGCTACCGGAGGATTTGACAAATGCACAGAATGTATGCTAAAGTGTTCTACAGTTAATTTGAACACTTTGTCCTCTGAGACCTGATCTACGTCAAACGCGAACGTTTTACCAATGTGGCACACCTGGAAGAGAAGACCAATTGCACCGGGAGGTTGAAGATAGTATAGCATGAAAAATGTAATATCAGGACATAATCAGGTCTTCAGCTTATCGCGAAGCATATTCCGCAAGCCTATGTTGAGTAAAGGACCCCCTACCCGTAGAACAACTAAGCAACGTCATTTACTGCATACTGAGCGCCAGTTGCCCTTATGTTTATATTGGCCAGACAGGCTGACGTCTTGAGACTCGTATCAAGGAACATAAGTTGGCCGCTTGCCGACGGAGCCCTTTATCACTCGTATTTGCGCACTCACTTGAGTGTGATCACCGATTCAATTAGGATGGCACCGAGTTGATCGCCATAGTTAATACGAGGCAAGCGATAGAATTCATCGAACCTTGGCACTCAAGCCAGGCTAGTATTAAAAGACACGCAAAGGTTGATTTACACTGACCTGCGCCCAGCCTGAAGCAACAGCAAGCTGTCCGTGCTTAGTCAAGTAGAATTTCACTGACTCCGAACCCCGCCTCCTCCCCCGAACACGTGGCCCATAATCCCAACGTTAACACGTCCCTCCCCTCACCAGCACAACCTATAGCCACATGAGTCACGTCCCCATAACCCTCCCGCCCAATCCCACCCCGTTCGTTGTAACCTCCGCCGCAAAAATCTCTAGTGCGACACTCCCAGCCCTCACTTTTCACTTAGTCTAACGACGAAACAGTGATACCTGTTTGAAAATTTACGAGAGCAACTCGATTATTTGAATCTCTTCATTCTTTTCACCATATTATCTCTCAATGCACATCACTTCACTTATCCAGCATAGACATAGCTTTGCTGACTTGAGTAGTGACCGGAGTAAGGTTTCATATAGTTTGTGAGAGATAATTTCGATAGGATATTTGACGAACTGTGTTTTTAGGTAATAGCATAATTTTGAAAATATAAAAGGATCCAGTGGAGTTTAACGGGATAGTTGTAAAGAATGACATGCTTTATTTGGAAATTAAGATTGAGATCCTCTGTCTGCGTCTTTTCGATAATAGCAAAACATTCACGGTATAAAGCACCGGAATAATAAACCGAGGAATATTGAAGAGTGCATATAGATTAATACAGTTTTAGTGCCTGCAAAATGGCGGAATTTTCGAAAACCCTGATAAAATACACGCATAGTGCATTAATTTATTAGGAAAAAAGGCTGAAATGCCCCGATAGGTTCGTCATCTCTAACTTCGATCGCCTTTTTGTGACGCAGGTTAGCCGGTGATCTGCTCGTTAGTTAATATGTTTGCGACCATGGAGCTGCTCTTGTGAATGATTAAATAACCTCACCTTTGGTTGCCACAGCACTCTTGGCTATCATCTTTCCTAGTCGGCATCATTTGGAGTTTTACTATTGCAAAAACTTATTGTCAGGTGTAATTTAACTTTTAGAGATATTAATGTATGGTAGTTTTGCGCTTTTCCATTTCCTCAGATTTAGATGCCCGAGCACAGGACAAATCCGGCAGGAAAACTGTTCAGACTGAAAAGCGTCAACTATGCACCAGAAAGCGTACACAGCACGCTGATTAACGGCCACACTCAAATCCGCGTCATCAAGTTACAAAATATCGGCAAGACACTGTCTAATACATCCGCAGTTTTTGATACGTGTCTGTTGTGTCAGATAGATGGTGACTCAAATATCCGCACAAATTTTCAGAACAAGTGCCAAAAGCTCTTGTTTCAGAAGATTTTTTCTAAGTTCATACAGGAAAGTAATAAAGGGGAATTGAAGAGACTGCGAAGGTGTATGCATAAGAGGGAAGCGAGACAGCTGTCGGATCACCGGAAGCATTTTTTGTTCATCTTGATTTTTAAACCTTTAGCAAAGCCCATAGGCAGAGTTAAAATTTGCCAATAAAAGCGAATATGCGAGTTCCAGGAACCAAAGCAGAACAATGAGATGCAATCACTTGAACAGGATTGTACTTTTTCTGACGTTTTGGATTTTGTGGAGAATCCTTTATCATAGGTAAGCGTACATTGATGCGAGACATGCGCAGATTGGGATGATGACACAACCAACAGTTGCTATTGTGGGTGGGGCCCAATAAGACATCTGCCACGCCAGTCAAAGGGTGATTGCGCAGAGCTCTGTATAGTGGTGCCAGATCGAATTATATATCGCTTGAATTCTTATTGGAAGCCCAGGCTCCGATCAAGTCGTGGCTTGACTGGCTTCTGGCAATTTTATACTTGACTACGATGTTATATTCATGGGCCGTTTCGACGGTGTGAGCAGCCACTTGGGGTAGTTAATCGTATCCTTTCAGAACCAACTATAAAGTCCTTAAAAGACACACTGTACTTTAGTATACGTAACTAATAACTTATGCATTTGTAGTAAGCCTACGTATTCCGCAGTTAATACTTCACTACACTCCCGTAACGGAAATATTTAGCGCCGTGCGTTTAATTTTAGTTACATAAGTAATAGTATAGTATTTAGCTTAGTCAGTTAGGTTAAGCTTAGATCACTCTAGTGAATGTTAGTGGAGTTCACTTTGCGTTTGTTTTACTTTAGATTCAGCTTTATTTAGTTTAGTCTACATTGTAGCTTGTCAATTGTTTTTATTAGTTTTAGTTTAGTTATTTAATTTAGGTTAATTTTTTTAGTTTTTAATTTAGTTGAGTTTGTAGCGTTTTATTTAATTTAAGTGCTTGAAAGTTATTTTTGTATTTACGTTTACATTGTTTAGCTTAACGTTTTTAGTTTAGCTTTAGTTTAATTTACATTTTTAGGTAAGTTATAATTTAGTTTCTACTTTGTATACATGTAGAATGTGGTATGAAATATTTATAAAATCGCGTCCAAGTTGCGGTTACGTTTTTAAGCAGATCTGGTTTACAAATAATCGTATTTCTCATTTTATTTACCAAACAATAAGTTATTTAAAAAAATTGTTCCTATTATTTTCTACTTTATACGTTCTACTTTGTAAATTGTGTTTATTTCCTTGATATACCTCACTCATACTATTCCCTATTACCGCCGGTCTCCCATTAAAAAAACGTGGAATTTTCTTGTTTCCATGTTGGTTCTTATAACAAATCCATACCCTTAGCCAACCAAAACGCAAATGGATTTTAGGTTAGGCCTCCAACGAGAACTCAGTCAATCGATTTGGTGCCGACGTGAAGGCCTCTGCGCAGAAAACGCCGGACTTGCGTATCTCCTACACTGTTGATGTTTGCTTAATTTTGCGCCACTTTTTCTCTGATAATGAACACCGGTTACAGTTTGCAAGTTCAGCTGCATAAAGGAATAATTCCGGCGATAGAACAGCGTCCCCTATCCATGCGTAGACATAGATCACGCAGCACTGAAGTTTCAAACATACAACAGAAAATTCACTGGGTGCGCTAAGGCGGCCTACTGATTAGCATAATCCCTAACACAAATCGCAAGCAGACGAACACTCATTTGAGGTTTCAGCAAGGGGGGAATTAATACATCTGTCTAATATAAATCTATTATTTTCGATCAAAGTGGACGTGCGGAAGGCGGTCCTGAAGAAAGATAAAAATGTGTCAGCGAAAAGGTCAGGACTTTTTGCACATTTCCATTTCTTCACTTTTTTCGCGTGAGGGATACATTTATGCATACTAAAACTGCATTGCAAATACCTTTACATAACATGTATCGTTTTTTGACTGTACATTATATGATGTCTTTACAACAAACAAATATGCACTTTAGCTGCCGTTCATGTTAACCTGACGTGCGAAGGACTTTTTTCCCCATAAATAAGATGTTTACTAACTGCTTTTACGGCTAGATTCTAGCCACTCATTCCGGCGGAAACCGGCGCATCTCTGCTCGTTAGAATGTAACATTCCAGTTTCTCACCGGAGTGTTAACTAGGCAAAGTCGCTGGAGAACGCTTTTATTTTAGACCTGCCTGCCCATCCATTAATTACATCGCGAAAAAGCGACTTACGACCTGATAGTGGGAGAGAGAGAGACACCGCCGACAGCAAACACCGGTGTTCGCTCCCAAACTTCTCCTGTTCAATTTCAACTGACAGGCAAAATCCTTGTCCTCCGATTGGCTGCAGGACAGCGCACAGCTCGTCTGGCCAATAATGTCTTAGTCGTCGTCAGTGGCGGGTTTTACAGCGGTAAGGAAGCGTACGTCGCTCAGTTCCACCTCTCCCTACTTCCTACGTTACCTGAATGTCTGCGTGTATATGTGCGTGTCAGTGCGTAAGTTCATTCCTTCCTTCGAATGGCAGGAGTCAGTAAGCTCATTGGAATGTCATTTAGCCCAGGCGGGAACTGAGAGTAACTTATCCTCCTACTGAATGAAAAGACGGCTGGCTCAACACCCCTCAAACGGCTTATCTGGTCGAGTAGCTGGTCGACAGCTGCCACCGACCAGCGTCCATATCTTCCCCGTTGTTTTGTTTTCGTGTCTTGTCGGGAAATCCAATCAATCCTTCACTTGGTCGTCCTTCTCAACCTGCGCGCATCGGGCCAAAGCTCAATTCGCACCAAGGGCAGATGCTCCTCCGTGCCAAAGAAACTCTCCTTCCTGGTCGAGTCTACCTCCTCCTCATCCTCTGCCACCAACACCCCTCGAGCCCACAGCGGCCCCATTGCGAACTGTAAAGTGACCAGTAATCAGATTGAATTACGTCCGCGGCAGGTTCAGAATGCAGTACGGCTGGAGAGCAGGAACGCTGCGCAGCCAGTTATGCCAACACTGTCGAGTATCACTGCAAGGCTACCGTTCATTTCTCGAATTTCGGGTAAAGAACCGAATGCGTTTGTGCAGTCTGCCTCCAGCGACCCCATACTCCAGAACCGCTACCTCTCAAACGACGGCGCCGCTCGGTTGGCTCGTTGGACTCAAGTCGTTGGCGTCGCCGAAAATAGTATTTTAAAGACCTCCAGTCGAAGGCAGCATGGTGGACTGTGCAAGGCAGCCGGACGTAGCAGAGTACGCCTGTCGGAAGTCCAGACAAAGCCGAGTGCCGAAAATCGAACCCGAGACCATGCGAACAGCAGACGGGCTGCACGATCTCCTTCTACAACCCCCGTGCACAGAGAACGGCTCCCGCGTTCCATCCAGCCGCTTTCAAGTAACGGCAGAACCTCCCCTGCCCCTGTACGTGCGTTATCGCGCGCTGCACAGTCTGTCCAGAACAGGACTAAAACTGTACCCATAAAGTTGGTAAAGGCGTCATCTGAAGGCTCCCTTACAATTGGAGACCCGAAGGACGCTGAAGCCACTCCCTCGGGACTAGCGGAGCAGGAAGACTCCCTCATCTGTGGCGGTCCAAGTGTAGAACTTTCTATTGCTGGCAGTGCCGTCATCAACATACCCGTTTTGGGCTTTTTTCGCAGTGGCCGAACTAGCCTTCTTGAAAGTCTGGTTCAGTCGCAACCAGTTTACTCAGCAACAAAGGACACCTCTAGCACTGGCCCAAGTTACTACTGCCCAATAGTTTATTGTAATGACCAGCTTTATCAAATTCGACTCATCGACTGTCCCACAATAACGCACGAGTTTCCCACTTCCACCCTCGAGGAGTGGACCAATTTTCGGGGCTGGGGCCTTCATTTGG